ATCAGCACGATGGAGGAATTTTGCCGACCAGAAACCATGTATTAATAAACACCAGTGACAAGGTTGTGGCGTTGTGACTGTAAAAGGCCGGTTTGACATTCATGTCTGGCTGCAAGGCATTCTCTGTCGTGAGAGGTTCACATTCAACAGAGAATACAAATAACGAGAACAGAAATACAAGAGGCGCCTTGACTAGTTGATTGGCTTCTGGGAAAATGACCCCTACACAAGATTTGTAGACAGACAGACGGGGAAGAAGCTAACCACCAGATTGCGAGAGTGTGGGCCAGTGGTTAGACAAGAGACCTGAACCGATTTGTAGCCTCCCACTACAAGGAACAAGGACATGCATTTAATTTCACAGCTACTACATTTGTTGGCCGAGCAGGGACAAAACCAGCCAGAGAAATGAAGAAATACTAAAGAAATAACGAGAACACAAATACAACAGGCGCTTTGACTAGTTGATTGGATTCTGGAAAAATGATCCCTACACAAGGTTTGTAGACAGACAGACGGGCAAGAAGCTAACCACCAGATTGTGAGAGTACAAGCCAGTGGTTAGACAAGGAGACCTGAACCGATTTGTAGCCTCCCACTACAAGGAACAAGGACATGCATTTAATTTCACAGCTACTACATTTGTTGGCCGAGCAGAGACAAAAACATCCAGAGAAGTGAAGAAATGAATTGAGTTCCTTGAGGATGTGCTCCAGCACAAAAAGCATCAAAAGCTAGGGAGAATAAACCTTTGGTTCTGGTGACCGACTCAGATTGGATCTTACAGGATTAGTAGATATCTGCAGGCCCGTTCCTTTCATTGTCCATTCAGTTTTTATTTTGAATATTGGCTGTACCACATTTCCAAAGAAAGCCTTTCTAATGAATGGAAGTTCCATACAATTCTGCTGTGATTCCCTGAACTAGGACAACAATGGGGAGCTCTGAATGACACTTTGAAGAAATACCACGAAAAATGTTTAGTGAGCCAATATTGCAGAGAAAACTGGGAGAGAATGTTTATAGCACATGGTGAACTGTGGCTCTATTGTAGAGATCCCTTGGTGCCCTCTGAGCTTGGTTGTTTTCTTGCAGACGTTTCATTACCAAACTCGGTAACATCATCAATGCTAGGGTAATGAAGGCTAGGTAATTTCAGTGCTAGGTAATTTCATTTGATACGGAAACATCTGTAAGGAAACAACCAAGTGCAGACGGCACCAAGGACCCCAAGAGAAAATTACATTTGCCCTATAGATCAGGGGTCCCCCAACCCCCAGTCTGTGGACCAGTACTGGGCCATGACATGCCAGCAACCGGTCCACACAAACAAGCAAAGCCCCATCCGCGGGATGCAGGCAGCACACAAAACCACATACCCTCTGGTCCGTGGACAAACCTATCTCCACGGAACTGGTCCGTGGTGCCCAAAAGGTTGGGGTCCTCTGCTATAGAGAGTCAAGTCTTTACAACAGAAGCAGGAAATGGTTCAAATTACAAATTACATTATTATTTGCTTGGCCAATAATTTGAAACAACGTTCAAATCATTGGCCAAGCAAAAGGCAGAGTACAGTTCGAAAAGCAGAATCTCAGCAAGACAAAAAGTCAAGCGTTCCAGAACCAATGCTCCTTAGAGCGAAAATGCTTCAAGTGTTGAAACACCTATCAAGTCTTTCTCAAGAAGCAATTGAAAATCAGACAGTACTCCTGAAAAAAAAAAAGCCATCTTTTGACAAACACTTCAATCTTCCGATAAACAGCTCTTTTTGTTTTCCTGCATCCTTGCACGTCTATCTCTCCTAGGACTGAAAAGACTTGTGTCACGATCTGACAGGGGATGTCCGTGGGATGGGGTGGGGATGTTTATTGATAAAAGATTCTAAAAAGACAAATTGAAAAATAATTAAAATACTCAAACTCTGCAGATTAAAAACTTAAAACTGTAGAAAAAAAATGACTAGGGCAGGGGTAGGCAACCTTGGCTCTTTTATGACTCGTGGACTTCAACTCCCAGAATTCCTGAGCCAGCATGGCTCAGCTTGGAAACCTCTCCCTTTCCCCTCAGCATGGCTGGCTCAGGAGTTCTGGGAGTTGAAGGCCACGAGTCATAAAAGAGCCAAGATTGCCTACCCCTGGCCTAGGCCTAGGCCGCTTTATGACTGGTGGACTTGAACTCCCAGAATTCCTCAGCCAGCATGGCTCAGCTTAGAAACCTCTCCCTTCCCCTCAGCATGGCTGGCTCAGGAATTCTGGGAGTTGAAGTCCACGAGTCATAAAAGAGCCAAGTTGCCTACCCTTAGAATTAATGAGAAACTTCCTGACAGTTAGAACAATTAACCAGTGGAACAACCTGCCTCCAGAAGAGGTGAATGCTCCAACACTGGAAGTTTTTAAGAAGAGACTGGACAGCCATTTGTCCGAAATGGTGTAGGGTTTCCTACCTGAGCAGGGGGTTGGACTAGACGACCTCCAAGGTCCCTTCCAACTTTATTATTATTATTATTAATTATTATTATTATTATTATTATTATTATACCCCTGGACTAGGGGAAGAATAGCATGAGGATGAGGGGTTTTTTTACCACGTCAACCGCCTCCGGAGGGAAGCAGTTCCCCGTGGGGACACAAGCCAACCCAGCCAAACCAAGTTTTAATACCCTTCCAGAAGGCCAGAGGCTAGGAGCACATCTAATCTGCAGTGGTAGAGAGTTCCATAGGGACAGACGGAGAAAAGGCTCTTCTTGAACCACCTGCTGGAATTCCTTAACTAATGGGATCTGTAGCAGGCGTCTTCCGCTGGTGTGAATGGGATGAGATGGCTTTTTGGATACCCTGGACCCACACCCACACATTCCCGTAAAATCAATATGGTGGCCACAACTGCAGGATTGAAGTCTTTCCCCCTTTGTTACGTGTCACAGCACTTACCAATAGCAATTCAACTTATATACTGCTTTACAGCCCTCTCTAAGCGGTTTTCAGTGCCAGCCTGTGGCCCCCAACAATCTGGGACCTCATTTTACCGACCTCGGAAGGCTGGAAGGCTGAGTCAACCTTGAGCCGGTCAGGATTGAACTCCTGGCAGTGGGCAGAGTTTGCCTGCAATACTGCCTTCTAACCACTGCGCTACCACAGTTCTTACAGCTGTCTGGTGCATAAGGGAAAGGACTCTGATCACACGATCACAGCTGCTACCTTCATTTTTATGATGCTCCCAAGAACATCCTTCAACTTGACAGTGGGACGTTCTTGAGCTAAAGCAACTCTCCCAATCGTATCATTTCAGCTCAGAGGAAGGGTTGAGCTATCTACCCTTTCTAAGTTCTGAAACAAAGAAGACATGCTAAGACAAGTCACAAAGAATGAGCTTTTTTTTCATCCCCTTTCTTAACACTTTTAGACTTCGTCTATGGTAGTGTTGAACCTGATTGTACCAGTATAGATTATTTATTTTTAGCCATTTGGAGAGGAAAGGTTTTTTGAGCCAGAAAAAGATTTTATGCATTCTAAAGTTCCACTCCGATTCCAGGTCAACATGATATATACTAATGTCTCACGAATTCCATTTTTATTAATGATTTTGAGGAGCGTTGAAGAAATGTATCGACAATAAACCTGAGGGCTTCAGTAAACTGCCTGCTGAACATCTATTAAGCTGGTATTTTAAAATCTACATATCACTGCCATTTTTTTCTCTCTGTTTCCCATATCTTGGGTGGTTTTTTTTTTCCTTTCTACTTTTCATTCAGTTTTGAGGAAAAAAGCATATTAAAGCACCTTCCCCTGACTTTAAAAGTGCTGCATCAGCTTCTGAAGTACATTAATTTGTGTGAGATAATTAATAACGGGAAAGAAGATGTGTGTGAGTGCATTGTGAGGTTGACATGCCCATCTATTACAGCCTCTGTTGGAAAGATTCTCATGAATAAGGAATCCAGTTCATTATACAAAATATTTCCACTCGAAACTAATTTCAGCCAATTACAGATCATGAAGGGGATCCGCTTGACACCTTAACTTTACAAGTGGTGCATGAATTCATCTTAGCATTCATTCTTCTTATTAAGTTGTGTAATGGCAGATTTTAATTACATGTGCCTATTTCTGTTTCTCATCGGAGAAAGCAATTATGTTTGGAAGTTACCAGTGAAAGCAGGCCATCAAAGAACATGGTAGCTGGACACCATCAAAGCGGACACCAGCCAGAACAAGAAAAACTCAAAGAAGCCGAGCAAGATCAGAAGATGTGGAGAGATCTGGCCCATAAAATTGCCAAGAGTTGTTCATGACTGAATGGATATCACCACCACCACCATCATGACCTTCATCATAGTCATCATCATGGTGATGATGATTGTGATGAAGATGATGATGATGATGATTGTGATGAAGATGATCATCATCATTACAATCATTATCGTGATCATCATTACAATCATTATCATGATGAAGGTCATGGTGGTGGTGGTGGTGATATCCATTCAGTCATGAACAACAGTCATTATTATGACATGAACATCATGACATGAACAACAGTCATGATGATGATGATGATTGTGATGATGATGATGATGAACATAATGATGATCATGATTATAATGATGATTATAATGATTATTATCAAGATCATCAGAATCATCATCATGAACACCATGACCGTCATGATCATCATCACCATGAACATCATCATCATCACCATGATCATCATCATTATCACTATGATCATCATCATCATCACCATGATCATGATCATCATCACCATGATCATCATCATCAACAACAACATGATGATGATCATCATCACCATGATAGTCATCATGGTCATCATCTATCCTTCTCTCTTCACTGAGGAAAGAAATTACCAACACTGCCCTCTATTCCAAATGTAACAAAATGCATATTGTGCCACATTCTAATGTGATGTCCTAATGCAAACCTCGAAAATGGGAGAAACATCACAAAACTGCCAGGTAGGGGTTGCAGGAAGACTGCCCTTACCTTCATAGGTTCCGCTTTCCAGAAGAGCACCACTTTTCTCCAGTTCCATAAAATCTTCAACAGTGATGAAAATATAATCCACCCCAGGAACTTCCCCCTCCTTATGAGGCCTTGTAGTGCCTGTTTTGAAAAAAAAAGAAGAAAGAAAGAAAAATCAGATTGTTACATGCAGCAAAGAGCAGCAGATCACGAAAAACTGCAAGACCAGGTCCACACGTGAAGGTCCAATTGAACGGATTTATTGCTAAACAGTCTATGCACAGGAATCTTCTCAACTAATGCTTGGCATTGCTTAGAGTTAGATAAGGGTGAGCTGCACTCAAGGGAGGGGTTGGATTTAGTTCAGTTGTGGCTACGTAGAGATTCTAGGCTGCTGCCTCTTTTCACTCCACCGCAGATTTGCTTCATGTACATCAGACTCCCAAAATGATTTGCGCACAGTTCAGTTCATTGCATAATGTCGTCAACTGACACATTTCATTAGTGCAGCTTTCTAACCAATGAACACTAAATATGGATGTTTATTTTATTTCTTTCTCCTGTGTTGGAAAACTGCTAGAATGAAGCCACTCATTAGGAAGCAATAAAAAAATGAACAGCAGCAAACAAGAAAGAAAGCCATCAATCAAGATTTATTTTTCAGTACTTCTAACAAAATCCTATGTTCAGTGGGACTTTCACTGTTCTTCACTGATGATAATGATGATGATGATGATGATGATAATAATAATAATAATAATAATAATAATAATAATAATAATAATAATAATAATTGGCACCTTGGGTGCAATCCCAAAACAACTGGAGTACCACTTGAGCACCATTGGCATTGACAAATTCGCTATTAGTCAATTGCAAAAGGCAGCCTTATTAGGAACTGCTTCCATCCTGCGACGATATCTGTAATACCATCAAACATCCACATCTGCCTATCCCAGGTCCTGGGTAAGGACTTGATAGGTAGACAAAATGCCAAATCCAGTCTGAACATCTGGCTGACTGTGCGATGATCCATAAACCCCCAGTGAGGCACTACCTTGACGTGGTTGTGGGGCTTGTGTACTCTGAGGAAGATGAGAGCTATGCCAGAGGTTCAACCATACTGGACAGGTCTCATCAGAGGAGTCAGACAAAGAGTGTCTCTCCCATAAAAAATATGGTGAGACGTAAATTTCAGAATGCCATACCGGCTTGGACGTCGCCCGGGTTAACAAGGTCCGCACTAGATATTGGAGTTCCTGGATATCTGGTGAAAAATGGGTTACAGGACTCAGGACTGTTGGCTGAGCAACCAGGGCCAGCAGCTGCAGAACTACTGGAAGAAAAGGTCTTTACCCGTCGCAGATACACAGTGATGGAAAACAAAGAAATAATGATCTGTTACTACAGATCAAGTCCAACAAGAAGAGGATATCTAAAACGAATGCACCAGTTCTGGAAAGAACAACATCCAGAATCAGAAATAACAGAACAGAGACTAGCAGATCAACGCCGATTTATAACACGAAATAAAGTATTCACAGAAACAGAATTGGACGAACTGCAAAGGTTTACCCAGGGCAAAGAAATCAAAGCCTTACCAGAAGTAATCCAGAATGTAGAGGCAAACCAGGGGGAGTTGGCAGTGAAGGAATCCAGCAGAGCTATACAACTGTTCTCATTTGGAAACCAGGCACCTCTTCCTCAGGAAGAACAAAACCCTCTAACTAAAGAAATAAAAGAATTGAAACAAAGAATAACTGAGCATCTAGAACAGCACAAAAACAACAGAATAAGGCTACCTGCATTGAAGCTTGTTCCAAAGAAACAGCTAGCACAAGCATTAAAAGATGCAAATACTGCAATATCAAGTATAAGCACCAATTCACTGCAAGAAACAAACCAACTAATGTACAGCACAGCTGCAGTTATAACAGAATACCTGGGATGCAAAATCAACAAAAAAGAAAAACAAACAAACAGTGCACCAGAAAAATGGAAGGTTAGACTAGAAAATAAGATCAGCAAGTTAAGATCACATGCAAGCAAGCTAGAACAGATGAAAGAAAAGAAGCTGAAGAACAAGAAGACCAAAGAATACCTAATCAAGAAATACCACTTAGAAACAAGGAAGATCAAGGAAGCACTGGAAATAATAAAGCAACAAATAACAGCTATAGCCAGGAAAATCAGTAGATATGAAGCTCGAATTGCAAACTATAGGCAGAACCTCCAATTTCAATCCAATCAGAAACGTTTCTACCAATCCATCAATGGAGAAACTGCAAGGAATCAGTCAGTACCTGACAAGGAAGAAACAGTGCAATTCTGGAAGCAGATATGGGATAACCCAAAGAAATACAACAAGGATGCAGCTTGGTTAAAAGAGGTGGATGCAAATAAAACAGAAGTTGAAATGAAAGAACTAGTAATAACAACAAAAATGGTAGAAAAAAGAGCAAAAAAAATCAAAAATTGGTCAGCACCAGGTGAAGATGAACTGCATGGGTTTTGGTTGAAACATCTAACTGTTATACACCCACTCATTGCCAAACAATTCAACAATATACTACAAGGAGGAGAAATTGAAAAGTGGCTAACAACTGGGAAAACCTACCTAATAATGAAAAATCCAGCAAAAGGGGCAACACCAGGTAACTACAGGCCAATTACCTGCTTACCAACAACTTTCAAATTACTAACTGGTGTAGTAGCTGATGCAGTGCAACAGCATCTAGTTGAAAACAATCTCTTTCCACCTGAGCAGAAAGGAAACCGCCCCAATAGCAGAGGAACAAAAGATCAACTCCTAATAGACAAAATGATCTTGGAAAACTGCAAGAGAAGGAAGACCAACCTGAATGTGGCATGGATTGACTACAAAAAGGCATTTGACTCTCTGCCACATGATTGGATAATCAAGTGCCTAGAAATAACAGGAGTCAGTAGAAACATCAGAAAATTTGTGCAAAGATCGATGGCACAATGGAAGACACAGTTGCAGATCAATGGTGAGAGGCTGGGAGAGGTTAATATCAAGAGAGGAATATTTCAAGGAGATTCATTATCACCATTACTATTTGTTATTGCACTGTTTCCTCTGTCAACAATACTGAATAACTCAGGACATGGCTATCAAACATCAAAAACATCTGCCAGACTATCCCACCTCCTTTATATGGATGATCTGAAGCTGTATGGAAAAACATCATCTGAAATAGAATCGCTGCTCAACACTGTCCGTATATATAGCCAAGATATTGTAATGGAGTTTGGCTTGGACAAATGTGCCACACTTACTATCAAACAAGGAAAAATAGTGAAAACTGAAGGAATCAAGATGCCCCACGAAAATAACATTAAGAGTCTGGATGAGGAAGAGTACTACAAATACTTGGGTATCCTTCAAGCTGACAACATCAAGCACACTGAAGTCAAGAAAAAGATTAGAGGTGAATACATCAAGAGAGTGAAGAAGATCTTAAAATCCAAACTCAATGGAGGAAATACCATAAAGGCAATCAACACCTGGGCAATCCCAGTCATTAGGTACACAGCTGGAATAGTGGACTGGACTCAAGCAGAACTAAAAGCAATGGATAGGCAGACCAGAAAAATAATGACAATGAATCATGCCCTTCATCCACGCAGTGACATTGATAGACTTTATCTACCAAGGCAAATAGGTGGGCGTGGAATGCTACAAGTACATCAGATGGTTGAAGAAGAAAAAATGGCTTTGGAAGAATATCTGAAGAACAATGATGAAGATGCACTGAAATTAGTATATCAGGAAGGCTTACTGACTACTGGAGAGACCAAACTGGCCTACAAGAAAGACCAAATGAAGAACAGAATAGAGGCATGGGAAGACAAAGCACTACATGGCCAATACATGAAAAAAATAGCTGGGAAAGCAGATAATAATAAAGACCTGGCAATGGCTAAGAGCAGGAAAATTGAAGAAAGAGACCGAGGGACTAATTCTGGCTGCACAAGACCAAGCCTTAAGGACAAATGCATACAAAGTCAAAATTGAGAAGACAGCAACAGACAGTAAGTGCCGCCTATGCAAAGAAGCTGAAGAAACAGTGGACCACTTGGTAAGCTGTTGCAAGAAGATTGCACAACTGATTACAAGCAGCGGCATGACAAAGTAGCAACAATGGTGCATTGGAAGATCTGCAAAAAATATCACTTGCCTGTAAGCAAAAACTGGTGGGATCATAAAATAGAGAAAGTCATAGAAAATGATAAAATTAAACTGCTCTGGGACTTCAGAATTCAAACAGACAAGCACCTGCAACATAACACCCCAGACTTAACAATTGTCGATAAGAAAGACAAAAAAGTCTGGATAGTGGACGTGGCAGTGCCTGGAGACAGCAGAATAGAAGAGAAAGAACTGGAGAAGATAACAAAATACAAAGACCTACAAATAGAAATAGAAAGACTGTGGCAAAAGCAAGCAAGGGTAGTACCAATAGTAATAGGCTCCTTGGGTGCAATCCCAAAACAACTGGAGCACCACTTGAATACCATTGGCATTGACAAATTCGCTATTAGTCAGTTGCAAAAGGCGGCCTTACTAGGAACTGCTTCCATCCTGCGACGATACCTGTAATACCATCAAACATCCACATCTGCCTATCCCAGGTCCTGGGTAAGGACTCGATAGGTAGACAAAATGCCAAATCCAGTCTGAACATCTGTCTGACTGTGCGATGATCCATAATAATATCATTGCACAGTCAGCCAGATGTTCAGTCTGGATTTGGCATTTTTGTCTATCTACGGAGTCCTTCCCAAGGACCTGGGATAGGCAGATATGGATGTTTGATGGTGTTACAGATCTCGACGCAGGATGGAAGCTGTTCCTAGTAAGGCTGCCTTTTGCAATTGACTGATGGTGAATTTGTCAATGCCGACGATGGTGTCCAAGTGGTGCCCCAGTTGTTTTGGGATTGCACCCAAGGCGCCTATTACTATTGGTACTACCCTTGCTTGCCTTTGCCACAGTCATTCTATTTCTATTTGTAGGTCTTTGTATTTTATTATCTTCTCCAGTTCTTTCTTTTCTATTCTGCTGTCTCCAGGCACTGTCACGTCTACTATCCAGACTTTATTAATTATTATTAGTA